AATGTATCCATCAACTTTCCCTCAGGTCTGGTACATTCCTACTGCTCCTTTACTCTGTCCTTCAGATCCAAAGTGCTCTACAATGGACTGCTCTGCCAGGGCCATTTGATTCCCCTTCCCCCCTTCACTGAAAGCAACCCCAAGCGCATCTGAGCTAGTGAGGCTTGATTTCTAGAGACAGGCATCTCATGATTAGATGCTCAGGTGTATAGTAAACCACAAGCATTGACCAAAGCTATTTTTCTGTTGGACAACTTCCCTAGGACTGTTTATTTTCCACAAGACTTACAGGAGCTTAGTACCTTGTCAAACAGGAAAGTAGCCTAGGGACTGGAGAGATCTTAAGGAAGGGCATATAAAATGAACACATACAAAGACAGTAACTCTGTAGCCTATTCTCCTTGGAAGGTCTGTCTCAATGGAAAAGACTTGACCTTACAGCTGCAAAGACCCCTGATCATGGCAGTTCCTCGCCAGCCTGTTCCAGGCTGGCAGAAAACATGTACTGCCTTCATAGTTATAACTAGGTCATTTCACTCTGAAGCCTAACAATAACCACTTAAAAACATCAGTTCTTTAAAAGTGACACTCAGCTGCTCAAAGAATGAGGATATTCTTCTGTGTCCACCCTGTAACCACACATCTAGATAGTGTTAGGAAAAAAGTCTCTCCAAAAACATACACACAAAATGATATACATGTCCCTAAATCAGTGGGCAGATATTTGCTTTCTTTGGCTTCTCATGCTTTGTTCTCATTAGGAGAATAGACTGAATGCAGAAGCTTTACCTAACAGCAAACTACAGAGTATGCCCCATTAATATTGACACTTACAATTATCTGTTGTCCTCTATATGCAGCCTAAGTGTTGTTTTCTAAGTGGTGCTAAACATATGCACTTACACCAGAAAACACTCCTAAATACAGAGTTGCTATAGAAGGGGTCACCATCCGTGTTCAGGACTTCATAGCTCACCCTGAATGAGAAAACCACCACTTCTGGGCAAACATTGACTCATGATGACCCTTGGAGTTCTGCTTGTCCACAGGTATGACCACCTCTAGCTTGTACATATGCAGAAAACAGATAGCGAGAGGTGTCCCCAGGGTCATCTCTTGATTCAAGTGACCCTCCTATCTCTGAACTCTTTCTGTTCAGAGCCAGGTGTAAAGTACATTTGAAACTGCTGGTCCTTTTGGCTCCTTGATCTGCAAGTGTAGAGCTGAAACACTCCAGGCAGACCCTCCCATGCCCAGGATGGGGAGACGCATTGTAGTAATCTAGACAGCAGGAAAAGTATGCTTGCTGCTCCAGGCTGACCCCTATGGTAATCTCTATTTTCTAAATCCAGAGTGCGGAAACTCCAGCCTTGCTCTTCATCAAGGCCATTGGTTTGCTCAAAAGGTATTTGCTAGAGATAAGAGGGAAATCACTACTGAAGGGGGAAATAGAGTGGCCAGGTATGTGAGGGGAGAGGAAAGAAGAGTTTAAGCAGGAGTTGTTGAATGATTTCCTAAGAAATATTTTTACACCAAACTCCATCAGGTCTGCAAGGAACAATGGTAGTCAGACTAAATCTGCTTTTCAGAAGAGGATACAGAGGGAGGAAAAGGCAAGTAATCACACTGTACTGTCTGAAAATTGTGCCCAAGGGCAGCACAGTACTGCCAGGTGGTTCATATCCTGCAAAAACCCTCACAAACTACAGGGGAGTATCTGCCACCATGAGTCATACAGCATGGGCTGAATTACTTGGCCACAGGCCCATTCAATCAAGACACTTTATTAATACAACCACATAGAAGGACAAACACCAAAGAATAAAGAAATTGTCCCAAACTGACAAGAGAGGGTGTGAAACAGGAGAGAATAAGACAGGCGGTGTCTTGGATAGGGGTGTGGCAAACATGGCAGAGCCCCAGCTGAACACAAACACCCAGAGTCTTGCTGTTACAAAAAGGGCCAAAACAACTTCAGGATGAGTTAAAAGGGGAAGAGCAATTACAGATGTGATTTTGTCTCCCATGTATGACACTGTCAAGACCCATGCTGGTATGCTATGGCCTGTTCTGTTCTTGTTTATTAAAGGACATTGGCTAGCTGGAGGGAGCTATACTCTGTCAGAGCAGAAGAGTTCCATTTCATCAGATCCCAGAAACCATCCTTGGGCTGGCAGAAGCCATGCAGATTGAACATTCTCGAGGAAGAGGAGACAGGACAGGTTACAAAGCTGACAATTCAAAGCTCCTTTCTTGCCTTTTACTCTCATGGCTTTTCCCAGATTGGAGGGAAAAATACAAATACATGACTAGTCCCTCTATTTCCCTAGCCCCTTTCCTTGTAGGTAGTCACAGCATGGTTGAGGTTGGCAGGGACCTCTGGAGATCATCTAGTCCAACTTCCCTGCTCCAGCAGGGTCCTCTAGAGCAAACTTTCCAGGATCACATCCAGACGGGTTTTGAATATCTCCAGGGAAGAAGCTGGGCAACCTGTTCCAATGCTCTGTCACCCTCACAGTAAAGAAGTTTTTTCCTCAGGTTTAGATGGAACTTCCTGTGGTTCAGTTTCTGCCCGTTGCCTCTTGTCCTGTCGCTGGGCACCACGGAGAAGAGGCTGGCCTCATCAATAAGCCATCATAATAAGCCAGTTCAACAGCTGTTAGGTCACTGGGGCTAGTAGCCTTAGCCAAACATTTCATGCCAAGAGAGAAAGAGCAGCAGGTGAGGAGGGAGCCAGTGGAGCTTGTATCAAAGGTCCGTATATCCTAGAGTTGTATTTAGGGAGAGCACAGGAAGAGGAACCTGGGAATTATTCAGGTCTGGCAACCTGCTTTAGGGTCTTGAGTAACATCTGTACATCAGTCTCCCCTCCAGTACTTTCCAAGTATTCCAACAACAATGAGAAATAAGACAACTTACACCCCTGATATTGCAAGACCACAGGAAAAAAAGCAGTAGAACCACATTGGGGGGGAAAAAACAAATCCTTAAACAAATACCCTTGCAGGCTCTTTTCTCTAGCAGTATGAAGCAATACAGATTACACACTACTTCTCTGCTCTTTTGGTCACCAGAAGGAACCCAAATAGAGCAAGTTTCATCACTAATTCTGACCAGACATAATGCTCACAGCTGCCAGCATTGGAAACAATGCAAACAAACTACCAACACTGCATTAGGTCCTTGCTCCCCTTGCTCCAAGGATGGCACCATGCTATTTAAATTAATAAGGTACTGGGTGCAGTCCTAAACCCTGAGTGGTTGCACAACATATTGAGTAACAAAACACACTGGAAAAAAACAGTCAGCCTGTGCTGACATATGAGTTGAATGAGTGAGATATATAGCCTTCTTTTCATTAATGACTAAGTGCAGCAATTGTTTTTCACTACATCATTCAAGCCACATCAAACCTTAAGCAGAGCAAGCAAGTTAAATACTTCAAAAGCTGTTACCCAAAGTGCCAAAATAAAGCTTCATAGATTTTTAGTAGATCACAAACCATTTAGTAGCTTTTTTCTTTTTTAAGGCTTCCAATGGTCATATAACTCTGGATAACACTAGAGAGCAGAAGGAGATATTACCCTCCCTTCCACAACCTGAACTTTTCATGCCCATGTCTAAAAAGCCTCATGATCCAAATATGTTAGCCTTGGGGGTGTGGTTACAAAGAACAGAAAACCAGAACAAGAGAACCAATAATCTAAAAACTGCTGAAAGATCCCAGCCCCCAAAGCTGGAGCTCCCACAAGAGAGGGCCAGCACCCTCCAGAGGAATAACTATACTCCAGGCACCAGCTCACAGGCCACAAGCTTCCCTCCAATAGGGCTAAGACACTGGGTATCTTCTAAAGAAAGCTATTGCTCAGCTCCCATGCTGGCTGCAGGGACATACCTTCCCTTACATGTTTGCAGGAGCAGCAGACTGGCTTCAGAGATATCTCACTCCAGCAGCTCAACTGACTGCTGAAGACTGATCTTTTGAAAGCAGCAAGATGGGGAGGCAGCAGCAGCTCTAGGCAGAAGTCGGACATGAGGCAGTTCTGACTACAGCAAACCTTCATCTTTCCTTTTTCAGGACTACCAGGGCCTCCCCTCCCACCCAAAAACACTTTTAAGAGCAGACTGATGGAAACCCCATGGTGAAACTCCCTTGACCTCTAGCCTGACCACTGCTTTCCTCAGTGAGCCTTTAACAGGCCAGACTTCTTGCAGCAGCTGAAGTGCTGAACCAGTGACATGCTGGATTGGCATGTATTTTTATACTAAGAGAGAAGAGGAAACGGTAGACACCAATGCCTATCCCACAACACCCTTAGCAACACCCAGGACCAAAAATAGGAATCATATCTGATCAAGTAGCTCTGCTCTGTGTTATGGGTGAGCAAAGCCTCAAAGAAGGGGAAAAACAGTGCTATGGAGAAATTCACTTCCACTGCAGACTGTGTGGAGGAATGTAGAAAGATAAATTAACCCCTTGTACCTTTGGTGTTTATAAGGCAACATGTTTCAAGGCACTCCTCTCACAAAGGAGAGATACAAATTTGTCACACCCTGATGAAAAAGAAATAAATTGCAAGGAGAAGTGACTTTGAAGATCCACTTACACAGTTCAGTCAGGCTCAAGAGCTTGAGAAAAATGGGAGTAGCTCAAAGATTTAGTTTTTGGCAGTCTTCTCAGGCCTGTGGATGAGCTTCCTGTACAGTTGCCAGGCACAGTAAATACTGTGATGTTTCCAGATACTAGGGAGAGAGAGTATCATTTCTACCCACTGTACCAGTTCAGGACTCACCAGATCCAAGTTTGATTCTCAACACTGCTCCAGACATCCTTTATAATCTCCCACTCACCTTTCATGCTAAGCATTTCCAAAGGGATCAGAGGTTTCAGCTGCCAATTTGAGATACTTCAGACATGCCCGGTTTTGGGAAAGCAGGGCATCCACAGACACAACCCAAGCACAGCTTATTTACAGTATGCTGGAGCCACCTCACCTTACCTCAGCTCTCTTCTCTGTACTTCTCCCACCTCCTGATTGTCACATCTCTTTAAACCACAAGATATCCAAGACAGAAACTAGTTGTTTTCACAGCAAGACCCTCCTTCAAGATGGAGCCTGCAAATTCAGAGGTAACACAGCTGATCAGTATACTCAGTAACAAAAGTAAGTGTTTAAAGATGTTGGCTAATAAATTTTTCAACTGTCTGTTGCCATGCATGGCCAGATAAATCTAAATAATTCTCCACTCACTGTACAGTTCTCAGTGCCCTGGGATTTCCATCACTCTATATGGCTGAGAAGCATAACCTGCTACCAACACCAGGCCCATGGGTGCCCACCTGTGGGGTACTGGAAAGTCAACTATTATTTTTAGTGTTCTTGGGAAGCTGCTGCCTGCTTTTAGTCTCCAGAGTTATCACCTCCTGCCATCACCACAGGACACAGGATTATTTAGCATCCACTCTGACTTCTGCAAGCTTAATGTCAACTGCTTGCTAGATGCCAGGAGACATTACTCATCACAGGAGACTTGAAATGGTTGTTGGCCATATTTTCTCAGCTAGGCTTTCAAACTGGTTTCATTTTGCCAATGGTTTGTGCTGCAGAGCTACTTCCCCCCCCCCAGCTTTTTTTGCTCACACCGAGTTTCATTAGAGTCCTGTGTCCTGCATGCAGTATATACATGCACCTACCTCCCTATTCAGACAGGTAGCCCTCAGTGCACACGTGCCATTTGAGCTTGTTCCACTACACACACTGGCAATGTTGCCTTTCACATATCTCCATTTTGCCTGCATGCATTGCTGCAAGTCACATACTCCATATGGACTATCCCATGCACACACCATTTATTCTGGGCTGCCTCCCAAAGCAGGCAGTGGAGCCTAAGGGGGCAAGGCCTTGGGATCACAGGCTCCTGGTACAGTTACGGGGAGCTCAGAGGAGGAGCAGCAGCATAGTCTGTATAGGCATGCCAGGAGGGCAGAAGTGGAGCTGTTTGGACCAGCTCCAACCAGGGATGCAGCAGCATTAGTAAAGGTCCAAGGGTTTATTCAGGACCAAGGGGGAAAAGAAGAATCCTTGAGGAGCTGATCTTCTGCAGTGAAAGGAGCACTGCCATTTTGCCCACACAGAGAAGCTGTTTTACTGCACCATTGTGTCTCCCAGCACTGAAATACATCCAAACAATGTGAAGAGAGAGCAGGAGAGTGAGTTAATGAGGACACCATTTCATCTCATGCATCTTAAATTACTATAGAAAGCATGTTTAGATCATGTTTGCAGTTCCCAGGCTTCTGCATGCAGCCTATGTCTCCCTGGTAAACCAGCCACAGATCTAACACTGAACAGGTTCCCATTGCAAGCACTTCCTTTTAATCCTCACATATTGAGGAAAACATTTGTTGCACTGGCTTCATCAAGAAGTGAAGTTTATGGTCCTACCCTTAAGTACATTTGAGACCTGTGGGGTAGAAAGGTTGCAGGAACTCAGCACAGATTACAAGTTGAGACAACAAAAGGAGAAGATCTTGGTAGTACCCCCACCGAGAAGGGGGGGAGGCAAAATGCATATATCTCTTATGAAACAGAAGGGAACCTACACGTGATTTTTCAGAACCCTTCATTTGAAAACTTCCATTTCAGTTCTCCTGTGTCCTGCATGCAGTATATACA